CACCTTTCTCCTGAACCCAAGTCAAACAGTCCTCTTGGAATTTCAGAGCAAACTTGTCTTGAAAAATCAAAGCTTTTAATATAAAAAACATGGAGAATTTTGGTTTTACTTTTGACTTCCTTGGTTTTCTCCTAGGAAGAACAGTTTCAAAGGAATCACCTGAATGAAGAAAGGTATGTCAATACTCTGTGTTCATGCTATATGTAAATACCTCCCTAGTGAGATACACATGCTTGTCTTTCCTGATGTTTTTAAAAATAATTTACATGTATCTAATTGTCTACTATTAAAAATACACAAGACTTGACAGACTGCAGATATAAAAGCAGAGTAAATGAACAAAAGTCCTGTCCTCTGAGAAGTCTTTTTGGCTCTACTATTTGAGAAGATGAATCTTAAGTATTGTTTGGGCTTTTTTTAACATCAGTTTTTTCACACAGATCTGAATCACCACCTGTTCCAGCAGTTAGGAACAGATTACTGCAGGTCCAGCAGAGACGGATCCACGCCTCTAATTTCCTGGTGCATAATAACAATAGTAGAAGAGAGAAAAATCCCAAGCCAGATACAGAGCAGAGGAGCTCCTCTCCTCCTGTTACAGAACCTGGAAGTCCTCCCTCATCACAGTTCGTTCCATATGTTCGAACAAATGAAGTGTATTACCTGGATCCAGAGGCACCAGTGACTAGACCTTCAACACATGACCCTCAGTATCGACACTTCAATGGTACTGAAATGATTCATACAGAAGAGAAGTGTTACAGTGATTTAGATTGAAGTGCTACAATTTATCCAATTTGGTATTTGTTTTTACTGAATTTCGCAGCAATCCATGTGTGTCACAGCACTGCACAGAAAGGCTGTGCAACCAAATGATATGCTCTTACAAAAAACCAACAAAACCTCCAAAAATTGAAAAAAAAAATCAGAAGAGCAACAAAACTTTTATCTGTCCTTTTTGTCCCTTTGTTTACTTTTAATGAAGGATAATTGCACTTCTCTGGCATTATTGTGTATAGATTGGGGTTTAGAAATCTGAAGTGTTTTTTTAACTTAAAAATAGTGATTATAATTTTGATAGCAACCAAAACCTGATTTTCACAAACTTTGAAAATCTGCTACTTAAAAAAAATACTAAATTAATATTGTTCACTGATTTGATATGCATTTGCTTTTAGACTCTTACCAAATGCCACGACAGATTTTTAGCTCAGATCACGCTAGAGATCCTCTTCTAAATCCTGATGTCATTAAAGAAAGACAACAAGCAATTCTCCAAGGATTGTCAAAATTACGCCAGGTAAGCAAAATGTTACAGGCTAAACATGCACGGATATATATACTGAGTAAAATGAACATTGCAAACCATTAAATACCATAATCTTTGATTCATTTTTCATCATATGATAGGTGGTTTTGGCCATTTCCTCTTATTAATTTTGCTTTTCATGTGTTACTTTCACCTTTGGACAGTCTTTACAGGGAGAGAGTATGGACTTAGATTAGCTGTGAAACACTAGAGTACCTGAGAAAACTGGAAACCAAGAGAAATGGCTTTGTTTAGTGTGGAGGTTTGGATAGTTAAAGTTGCTGATAGTAAAATGTATCAATTGCAACAGTTTTAATGCAGTTCTAGAAGGTTGTAATTCTGTTCTGCAGTTTGTGGGTCAGCCAGGTGGGACAGAGCGGTGTGCTTGGTGCAGGAGGGTTAGCAGGGTGGCACTCCTGTCAGTTCTGGAGAAAAACTGGCATTTGCAAACTGGAAGTGTGGACACTTATAAAATCCTTCCAAGGCAGCTGTTTGTTAGCATGTAAAAGGAAATTCAGGATTTGGCAGTCAGGTGTGTACTGAGTTGTGTCACAGCCTGTAACCTACAGCTGTGAGGAAGGTCTTTTAACAGAGCAAAAATACCATTTTAATTTTTCTTTTTTAAAACCAACTTCCATGGTACCAAATTATTTCTGACAGGTCTATAATGGATAGAGACCAAGGGGCCAGAGGTAGCAATATATATGATCCTATTAATTACAGTAAAAAGACTTTTTATGAACATACTTGACATAGCTATATCATGTATTACTTACCATCCAGGATACACCTCCAGGAGGTTTATTTTATTACAGGTTTTTTCCATCATCAGTACTTACAAGAGCCATTAACAAAGAAGGAACCTAGAACCTTTTGACTGTAAATACACATATCCTGAAATGTCTGACCCTGGTCTAGTTCAAAGGGCATTGCTGTCCTTGATCTTAGAGGATCATTTCTGTTAGGACTAAAAACTGGTGCCCATCAAGGTTTTGGATTTATACAGTTACACAAGTACAGAGACACTGCACGAAGGAGTGAGCAAGTTGCACTGCATACAGTGGAAAAGTACTTTTTCCCTCTGCATGGTCATCCCTGGACACTGGCTTGTCTTCCACTCCAGTCACACTTCCAGGCTTTTTCAGAAGTTCCCTTTGCACTGAGTGTGAGGTTGCCCTGCTTTTTCTGAAGCTATGTACTTAAAAAAGCATTGAGCCTTAACAAATTGTTTTAAGCTATGAAACACTGACCCTTCATTAGTTCAGGCTGTGAGAGGAAGACAGAACATTGACGTTTCATTTTTTTCAGGGCCTCCTGCAGAAGCAGAAGGAGTTGGAGAACACACTGATCCCCACTGCAGCTCAAGAGAACTTCATTTCGCCATTTTGAGAAGTACCTGTGAATGCTCTGAATTCTTGAAACGTAATGCACAGCACTTTGTTACTGTAATTAATTAGGAACCATCTCTAGCTTTTTTATAAATTTAAGTTATGAGAATTTTGATAGATTACATGGTAATGGTACTTTTTATATTGAAGATACACTAATGATGATGTGTCTGTTTAGAATGGTTTTCATGCTACCTGAAGACATAGGTCAATTTAATATAAACCACCAAATCTCAGAAAAAAAAATCTCTTGTATGGGTTTTTGTAGAACTCTGTGTGTATTTTGACAAATAAAAAGATTAAGATGAATTCTGACTGGCTTGGGTAGTCTTTGTATTTTATGAAACTGCTTGTACTTAAATATTCAGCCACCTTTGGGGCTTAGACAGCAACTATTAACTTGGGTCATCACAGATTTTAAGACCACTGAAGTGTTGATGTAACCTTTTCCCCCAATCCCAATTAAACAAGAGCAGCACTTAATGTCATAGTGGGCTGGGCCCAAGGCAGTAGGACTTGCTTTAAGGCAGTTTTCTTATAAACAAGGCCTGAACAGCTCAGCATTCAATGCCTCCACTCAGAATTAAATGCTTTGTTCAGATTGGTTTGCTTTTAGTCTTCAAAAGACAGGATAATGTGGGTTAAAAGTGTTTTTTTCTGCTAGATCTCTGCTAGATGCACAACCCAAATCCACGTTAGCTGCTCTGGGATATGCTGCACTAAATATCACAGCCCCCAGAGCAGCCTCTTCCCAGTGCACTTGTGCTCTCCAGGGCTGTGCTGGGCAGGCAGTGGGGAGAGCTGTGCTGGACTCTGCTGGGGTGGAACACAAGTTAGTTCTTCATGGAATCTGTTACAATTTATTGATACAAGGGAGTTCTTATTTTCAACAAAGATTACTTGCCATGTTTGAGAGGAAGGTAACAGCTGCTACACTAGTCTGGGACTGGTTTGTTCTTAATGGGAATTAATAAAACAACTGTTAATAGAAGGAAAGATTCAACTTTAGGGCAAAGTCTTAGTTTTTAAAAGCTTACCTTTTTAAATCAATAATGTTTGTCCCAAGTAATTGTCTGAGTTTAGGGTCATGTAGTTTCAAACACTTATCATGTGGGACCAAACTACACATCCCACAGAAAAGCACTAAAATCAAATTACAAGCAGGAAAAACCCCAAACACAGGACTTTGGACAACCTGAAGACAAGCATTAAGTCACAAGTATTATCAGTCTCTGCAAAATCAGCAATGCAGTAGTAAGTCTAGGAGACTCCACAGCTCCTTAACATCAGCTGCTGCTTTCCAGAAACCTGAGTCAGAGGATGAGGTACAAAATGAGCCAATTCAGATAGAACTGGGGGAAAAAGTTTATTACTCAGCAGATGTGAAATTAAAAAAGACAGGATTAAGAAACAGATAAAACTCTGTACTTATGACAATGGTACTTCAAACAAACAAATAAACAACAAAACGACCCTGAAATCTCCAGGAATCATTATGAAGTGGGAGGATTGAGGTTTTTCTAATGCCAATTGAACACTCCCACAGTCATTAAATGCAGGTTTGTCCTTCTCTCAGAGCAGTAATTGCAATGGTCAGATATTGCTGTAAGGACACTGCTGGTGAGTAACCAGCACAGAGCATCAAGTGAGAGACACAAACAACTGCTGGTCAGGAAACCAGGTTTGTGTGTTTCTCACATACTTTGCAAACAATATAAAAATCACAGACAATGCAATGTGTTAGCAAGTCCCTTGTGCATGAAGAGTTTATTTTTGTAATGGAACTGCAACATTGGTTACTCTAATTGAGGTATTTAGCCAAAATCCAGTATATAGTCATGAAAATAACTACACTGCCTTAGAACCAAGTAGAAACATTTGTACAAAATTTGTGTCAATGTCAAATAAATACATAAATTTTGATATTTATGTGAAGAAAAGTGACTTGGATACTTTCACACTTAAAAGAAAACAACTGGCTCTTTCACATATTTTCAGCAAACATTCAATTTACATTAAAACAGACCTCAAACTGAAGCCCAGGTAATAGCTAAGATACAAATGTAGAAACTTAAAAGTGCCAACAAACAAGATAATTCAAGTACAGTAAACGTTAAAAAAATATATATTTTTTTTTAACATTTCAGATGGTTCCAACAGGGACAGAGACCATCAGGAATTTAAATAGAACAAGAAAACATTTGAGATAACAAGTAACATTTTGTTCCAGAATAAAATAGAAATTGTTAGTCCAGCATTTTAGAAACAGAAAAGTCCACAGCAACTTAGAAAAAGACTTGAGTTTATTTCTGTTCTGAATATGGCCTGGAAGAATCACAGCTGCTGTCCCAGGCACCAGGCAATGATGACTTTTCTGCATCTATGCTCTGACTGTAAGCAGATAGAAAATAATTGCTCCCTTCTTGGGTTTGATTTACAGAAGAAATTGGGTATGTTGTTCCCAAGAAAGTCTGATGAGTGAGCACATTAAAGTGGCTGAATTGACGGGACAAGTTTAACTGTCTGTTATAAACTGGGAAGGTAGTGAAGGGAGTATGTTCCACTGAACTGTGTTTTTCTCCTTCAGCAGAGCACGTTGTGGAAACTGGAGAAATTGGCTGTTTCTTTTCCAAGTCATTTTTAGAAGTCTTTTCTGCCAGGCCAGTTCGTGCTTCAGGAGATAACGCTGTAACTGATAAGCAGCTTGCTTTAGCATCTACTCCGTGTGGGCCCTTGGTCTCTGTCTGCAAAGCTTCCACAGGAGTATCATACTTAGAGGCATCACTGCAGATTTCTATTTGTGATATTTCATCTCCTGAATCCAGAGACATGTCCTCCTCATCCTTTTCATCCTTTTCTACAAGAACTACATTTAAAAAAAGAGAGAAAGTCCTAATCTATTGAAATATAAACTTTGGTTAGAAAGCTATACACTACTCACAGTGGTACATTTCAGGTCTGCAAGTCCAATAGCACTTAAGTCTTGGTCTTCTGCCACTCGTGTTCACTTAATCAACATACACACTTAACCCTCTGTGTGAGTGTCCAGTCACTCCGATGCTAAAAGCTTCTGTGCATTGTGTTGTTCATGTTTAGTATTGGGAAATCCCAACTCCCAGCTCCAAAGGGGGCAATGTCAAAACAGCATCTGAAGTTACACAGTAGGTGAGCATTTGATCAGACAGTTAAAGGTGTATAATTACTGATATCTCACTACAGCTTATCTACTACAAGTAGATAAAGTAGATACTAGAGACAAGTTTATCCTTTTCCTCAAAGCAGACAGTTCCACCACTCTGCCTGGTGCCTTGAGCACCATGTTAGCCTGTACTTGTGTATTTAAGATCTCCTCTAGTGCTCCACCCCAGCTGCTTTTCCCCCATCATTCAGAATAGAAAAAGAGTAGCTTGAGAGTTGGGTTTTCCTAGCCAGCTGCACTGTTCATTGCCAAAAGTAAAGGTAACAGTGTCCCATGGACCTCCACCCCACACACACAGTCTGGTCAAGAACGAGTGTGCTTCACTTTACCTGATTTTCTGTGCTGCACAGTGGTGTCAGGAAGGCTGTTCTGCTCAGTCACTGAGTTGTGATACCCAACCAGACTTTTAAAATTCTGCATAAACTCATCAACAGCAGCAACAACTATTCCATTATCAACATAGCTCGAGAGTGTTTTCAGATTCTTTTCTAAATACATAAAAGATTTTGTATTAATATTTAGGACCTATTATCAAAAAAGGGGTAGAGATATTCATAAATTTGGGGGTTACCTGTTAAGAAGACAATATGTCTCTGCTGTATGTTTTGGGCCTGAAGTCTGATAAGACATTCTAGTTCTGGAGCATTTCGAGTTTGAGAATCACAGTTATGGTAAGACAGAATCTCAACCAAGTGCTTCTTTTGGTATGTGGTCAGAAGGGTGAGCAGACTCAGGGCATTGGTGTTCATCCTACAGTGGGGGCAAAAGCTCATTATTAGAAACAAACTTGATTTAAGGTCAGTCTAAATATTAAAAGAAACACAAGAGTAAGTTCTGCTTAAGTGAGTTTTAGAAAGCATAATGAAAGCTGAAGCATTTTAACAGCTTACCAGCTATTAAGGTATTGAAGGACATCACTTACCTCCCAAGCTCTTTCAGTTTTTTTTGTATTTTGCAGTGGACTTTCCATTGCCATTTCCCATCTGGGGTATTGAGATTCTCCAGAAATTTTAAGAACTGTTTTAGTTTGTCTGTTTTGGAGATATTGAACAAAAGTTAAATTTGGTTGTATGCACTGAAAATACAACTTCAGTGTAACACAAAGCTGCTTTCTGTTTGCATCCCAGTACAGTCACACCACTACCAACAGCAGTTGCATACTTCAGGTTTCCTTCCAAGCAAATTAGCCAACAACAGTATCCCAAAATGAGTTGCTTCTCTGTAGGGCAGTGCCCAACAGTGGTATCTAAAAGCTGAGCTCAGTCATACATGGTCTGCCATCCTAAATTAGCTATTTTTAAAAATGGTAACTCTGTTAACTATACAGTTTCAAACGCAGAAAAAGTGAAAATGTGTAGTTTTTCGATATTTTTTCCTAGCATATTCCTAGCAGTAAGGAATCAAACATTCCATATAGAAAGTGAAAATGTGTAGTTTTTCGGTATTTTTTCCTAGCATATTTGTGGATTGAGCAGTAAGGAATCAAACATTCCATATACATAACTACACAATGTAATACAAACTTTAAACAAAATCTCCCTCTTTACATGTTGTTCAAGAAGACCACTGAGGTAAGAAAGAGACTGGATTAGCTGAAGTTCTGAAAAAAACATCACAAATAATGAGAGCAGACTTGATCCTTCCCTGTGGTGAGAACAGCACCGCTCAGGCAAGGAAGTGTCAGTCAGGCTTTTAGTCTGGGTGTTAAAGCTTCACAAGTGTCACACCTACCTGTAGTGATGGACTCTGGATTGAGGACAGATTCATCTGACACAACAAACCCACCAGACACAAACAGCTCATGATAAGTGTGATTCTTCACATCATCCAAACTATCAACCCCTGCAAAGCTGACACAGGAAAGCCTCTTCAGAGTCACCAGGCCTGGGATCTATTTAGAACAGAGAGCAATCAGAGGTGCATCCTACAGATCAGACAAAAAAAAGGAACTACGTTTAGAACAGAGAGCAGTCAGAGGTGCATCTTACAGATCAGACAAAAAAAAGGAACTACAGAACTTTCCTAATTGGTAATGCCAAACACCAAACTTCAAAACACATTTTCAAAGAATACATTTTTTCCCCCCTTGCCCAGGGAGGCCTCTCTCAGGAACATTACAGGAATGAGACAAATGGAAGTTGAGCACTTGGAATAATTTTACTTTCTGTCCAGCACAGGTTCACAATCCCCAGCTGTCAGGAATACCTACAGTCACCTGAGAGCTGCCTTCACCTGCTGTTAGAGCACCAGAGAACTAGTGGCAGAACTGCTCAGGCCTCTGTACAGCTTCACAACCAGTAAGAATAAATACACATTAGTACAGGTGTGCAGCTGGGAGAATTTACAGGTACATGATGGAACAAGACCATTTTTACCACAAGCATCTTGTTTCTTCGAACAGCAACTAAACACAGGGCCCTGTTTAAATGCTGTGCTGTCAGGAGAGAGCAGCCTTGCACAAAAGGAGCTCATCTCACTATTACCAACAGTTTCCTGTAGCACACATGCACTTAGGTGGGACATACCTTATGGATGAGGTTGGCAATGTCTTCATTTTGGATTATGATCAACAGTTTATCTAAATCAGCTCTCCTTTTAAGGAACTGCTCTGGATGGCACTCTGTATTACCTAACTTTGTAAGATACTCCTACCACCACAGAAAGAGAAGATGAAAAAAAAGTTAATAGGTAGTTTGAACAAAACAATCCCCAGATGACAACCATGGCAGATGGGTTTTCCACTCAAATGAATCTCAGGGGGACAGGCTTCCTTGTCTCCCTCCCA